TCTTTCCTGCTTATGCAGGGGGTCGGACTCGATGATCTATTGAGGTCCCTTCCGACCCTAGCATCTATGAATCTATGCCTCAGTTTCCCTGTCTATGACCTGGGATAAGAATAGTGACCCCCTTTTTGTAAAAAGATTTAAGACCTAAGGGTGAGAACTGCTGTGTAAGAACTAAGTGGTATCATTGTGGTGGAGTTAGGTTTTTATCTGGTGTAGTTAGAGCAGAAGGCCAGTCGTCAGAATATCTGGGTTATGATCCTGGCTCTGTTATTGACCTGCTGTGTAGATGTGGACAAGTCCATTTCTCTGCATTTTGAATTATTCTTATTTAAAATAGGGGAGTTGAATAATATTTCCTGGCTACAAGAGAGCTGCGAGGATTAGGATTACTAGGTGAAAGGGGAACTCTGTAAATCTGTTGGCGGGGTGGGGGACGCTGCAAATACAAATCTAGATATGTTGCAAGTTCAGAAAAGAAATTCCATATGCCAAGGGATCTGCCACATTGAACATCATGTGCATTTTATGCTAACTTTTACTTTGGAATGGCAGTAAAGAGGAACAAAACCTACTTACGTGCTTGGACAGGATTGTGCATTGCAAGTTTCTCACCCTGCACCTATCTGGCTTTGGCAGCAAAATGAGGAAAAGGTCTTTAAACATAAAAGGTGCCTTTAACCAGCTGTGTATGGCTGCGTATCTGCTTTCTGAGTGCCACCCATCCCAACCAGGCACGTTCTGCATAACAGTTGTCCAAGGGCTATAAAAAAAAACCCTTGTGTACAAGCCAAACATAATGCTGCACCCCACCCACATGGCAGCAAGACATAGGTGTTCGTTCTCAGTGAGGATCCTGGCTATGCTGCAGCTTAGCTTCTCTTGCTGTAGCTTGTCTAAGGAAGCGTAATTAAAATTCTTCTTGTTTTAACTGAGAGAATTTGTGTTTTCCCCTTTGCCAAAATGGCTGGTCAGACATGCTGAAAATGAAAAATCACCTTTTGGGCAAAGATGGAGGGAGGAAAATCTTGAGGGATATTTCTGAATGTGATAGAGGTGGTGACAGGTCAGGGAAGAGGCAGAGTATCATGTTGTTGGTATTATATTTGTCGGTAGAAACTCCAGCTGAGATCAGGACCCAGTTGTACACTGTGCAGTGAGTGCATATGAAAAAACAAACCTTGCCGTGAACAGCAAAGAAACAAAATAGACCAGGAAGCAGAGACAAAATGACCTGCCCAAGGTCGCACAGCAAGTCAGTGGCAGAGATGGGCCTAGCCCTCATTGGTTGACTGGTAGGTTGACATCCTGCCTGCTGGACCGTACCGTCTCCTTCCTCTTGCTGTCCAGTGGCTGACACTTGGCAAACTGAGCTACTGGGAGTGCTCTCCCCACGCCCATTGTGGTGTGGATTAGACAGCAGAAAGGCCAAGTTTTCTTCCCCGGCTATTCATGCCCCAAAATAGAGGGGGGTGTGTGTGTGTGTGTGTGTGTGTGTGTGCGCGCGCGTGCGTGCGTGTGTGTGTTGCAGGGGGGAGGGGGGTCAGTATTTACCATTTATTTCTTTTGAAAACAGAATTTGAAGAGCAGGCAGGAAGGAATGCAATTTTCTTTTTTTTAGCCCAGGAGTTCTTCCGTCTCCTCTTCCAGACGAGGAGCAGCGCAGTCTCCTTGGAACCGGCCCTGTGGTTCAACCACAGTTTTTCAGTCACAGAGACGTTTTTATATTAAGAAAGGAAAGTTGGGGGCGTGGGGGGGGGAGACGGATACACATGTGCTTGTGCGCGCGCACCCCCTGCTCTGCGTGTGAGGCACTTTTTCCAAGCAGAGCTGCCAGCTATATCCCCTGTCCCAAACCAGTTAGCATGAGGTTTGCTGCTTTATTTTTCCCCTTTAATTTTTTTTTTTATATGCTGCAAGCTGTTCCAGCTGACAGAGGTGGGGGTGGGGTAACAACAAGCCACCGTTTCAGGGCTCTGGAGCTGAAACACTCCCTGGTTTTTTTTTCTGATTGGCTCTAAGGGGGATGCAGCATGTTTCATTAATAATAAAGAAGGCTTCTTTGCCCAAAATCAGGGGATTTCAAACCTATTTGCATATTGCAGATGCAATCAGGCGTCTGGTCACCTTAGAAATTCTCTTTCAGAGCTTTCTGGTGATGGAGTTTGGTTTGGAAAGAGCAGGGAGTCTGGTCTGCTTGCTCACCAGTTCCTGGGAAAGCTGGATCTTGGAACAAGTGGCTTGCTAGCAGAACTCAGCAGAGACTGGATTTCACTGGCCTCTCCTGGGATTTCCAGTATAAAGGGTAGTCGAACTTAGGAATCTCTTTAGAGCTTAGGCTCCACATCAGTTGATCCAGCAGATTTTATGCCATAATTAGAGCTGCTTGTGGCATGGAGGTACAAGGGAGTGACAGGGGAGGAAAGGGGCTGCCAGAAATCTTTGATTCCTGGAAGTGACTAACTTTTTTTTTTTTAATTCAAATTAACTGATGAGGCAAACCTCACTTTGAGCTGCATTGCACACTTGGCAAGAAGCAGGACCATTCATCTTCCATTTTAAAAAAGGGGAGCTCGTAGTGCAGGAAGAGCAAGGGACTTGTTAGAACAGCAGTCAACTTGGGACTAGAGCCCATCTCTGTCTGTTCTAGCCAGACAACTTCACTGTGCTGCCTGCAGCTGGTGTCAGTCAAGCATAAGGAGGGCTACTAGTCCCTTCCTGGGTATGTGGAGTGGGAACAAGAAGAGGAGTTTCCCATTTCCTCCCCCTTTCAAAGAGAGGTACTCTAGACGGGTACATTTTCTGCAGAGCTCTCTCCCTGTCAGTGGCCATCTGCATCTTCTAGATCAGCATGAAAAGTCTAACTTGGTGAAGGAGACCCTAGCAAACCAACCCCATGCAAGACCAAACCAATTCTAAAGTCTGTAGTTTGGTCTACCACCTGCCTAGGATTTGTCTGATATGTTGGCTATTCTAACTACATGACCAGGTTCCTTGCGCAGCAGGCAGTCCAGGGCATGTCCAAGGCACAGTGTGGCCAGAAAATAGCTAAACCCTTCTTCTTGGAGCTGCACTAACCTTGCTGGTGCTCAAGCTGGCTCAGGCAGGTAGGCCCAGGATCTAGGAGACACATGTTGCTCTCTCTGTCCCTGTGCGGGACACTGCACCAGCCCAGAAGTTAACCTTGATCTAACAGTTTTGTGTTTCTCTGTCTAGATACGAGTTTCTCTTCACTGGAAGAATCAGGTGTATGTACCTGGATCTTCCTACTATCTGAAAAAGTCCCCAGTGAAAGGTGACTGTGTCCTGCTCAGTTGCTTCAGGATTCTCTTCCCTGACTTGAAGACTTCAAACTTGCTCGTTATTTCTGGTACAGCAGGATGGTAAAAACCAGCACCTGCCACTAAAGCCTCTGGGGAAAGATCAAGGTTCTCTCTTGTGTATTTTTTCCCATTCAATAATGGTTCCTGAGACATTTCCTAAACATAGAAAGTCACTGGAAGAAGGAGTGTGGCTTAACAAATCTGGTGTCCTGGCATGGCTGCTGTGCCACATGCCATTGCTAACATGAGTGCCATTTAGTTACCCTTGAACCTAATGATTGCTTTCATTCTTGCCCTAGGAGCTACCAGGACCTCCAGCGGGAGACTTCGGAAAGCAGGTGACCCAACAAGTCCAAGTAAGTTGCATTAAGCAATGCTTCTGAAGTGTCTTCCTCTAATATCCATTCTGAGAGACAAGGATGCTCGCGGCAGCCTATTGGCGATCAGCCCTCCCACCTTCCATCAAGCACCACTCAAAAGAAAGTGCTTCCAAGGACTCTATTGTCTGGTTGATAACAGTGCAAAGAGGGGCCTCCCTACATTGTATGGAGAGTAATGTAGAATTAGTGCAAAATTGGTTATTGAATAATAGATCTGGTGAGAATAATTAGAAAGCTCCACGTCAAATCAGGAGGTCTGACATTCACCAGCAGAAAGCGCGAGTGCCCCAAGGTTGAATTACGACCTCAGTAATTAATGGTGCTTTCTTGCTCTCCTCAGTTGTTATTTTTATAGGATGTGGAGATTTATGGGTTATGTGTGTTTGTGATTGCAATTACCCTCCTAATTGCAGCTGGACCTTAGTTAAGCTGTTTCCCATTCAGGAGGAAGCAGGTGGGAGGTTTCTTTCTCAGAACAGGTGTTTTCCAGGTTCATTACTGCAAATCCTGCTCATTGCCCTTTTGGAGACTTTCAGCATCTGAGCTATGTGTTGCTTTGCTGAGCCGTCTGTGCTTTGGGGGCCAATGTGGCTGGTTGTCCGTAGGCTCTGGAGCTTCTGGGGCCCTGCTGATCTTTGCTGAGTGAGCTCAGCCCAGCCTGATTAAGGAATCGTGGGGCAAACAAGGCAGCACTGGATTTAGCATAGGATGAGCAGGTACTTAGATTCTTCTTATTTTAAGGCTAGAAAGGATCATGACATTTAGCCTGGCCTGGGATTGGCCAGATCCCAAGTGGATCTGGTTGCAGGTTGGATCTGCTCAGAAGGCTCCCTTACCTGTAGTGGGGTCCATGTCGGCAAGTGTCTAAGTCTGACCATATCTAAAGTGCTGAGTATGCCGAAGTACTGGAGCTGCAAAGATTGTTGGCTTTTGGGACTCAATAGGAGATCAGTGGAAGCAATTGGAAGAGAAGATGGAAATCTCTTAATATGGTACATGGCAGGGGGAGAGGGGTTGCAGAAACCTAAAAGGAAATCCTTCCTGTAACTGGTTCATAGTGTTCTGGGGCACTGTTGGTGGAAGTATCAGGTGCGTAGTTTTTAGGCCAGTCTTTCATGCAAGTGATCCCAGCCTGATGTAAGAGATCCAAATACGATAAATACATGCTTTCTGTGAGCCTTTCCAAAATCCCAGCATCTGAAAAATGATCCCCAGATGCATTAACACCATACCAGGGATTCATGGCTACCTGGAGCCTTCAAACAGCCCACTGCCATAGGCAGAAGAACCACCTCCAAAAGGTGGAGATGGTAGGAGAGAAGCTTTGCTCTCCAACTCTGTCTCCAGGAGGCTTGTGGGATTATCAGTACCTGTGCCAAGCAGTTGTTCATGATGTTAGCTTATGCTTAGAGACATAAGCTCCTGTTTCTGTATTTTACATTTTGTGTCTTATTGATGATGGGCTGAAAACTCGTGGAATGGTGAAAGTCGTTCTTTTAACTAGTAAAGCAGTACAAAAATGCTGAAAGAAAGGTCCTTTAGAAACAGTTACTGAAACTTTAGCAGTGTTCACTCATGCTGCTTTTATAGCAAGATGCCACGTGGAAGTTCAGCAGTTATTAATATTCCAGTAATACCTATATGCTCCAGCCCGGCTCTGAGCTCCATGGCTGTGGTACTGTGCATGCCCAGGGCAACACACTCTGACTCAAAGATGGATAAGAGTGAAACAAGTGAATGGATATCAGGAGAGTAGTTTAGTCTACTGCCCGGAGGGATGTGTAGTACAAGGCAGGCAGGTCCCAGCTAGTTGCACCATTACAGTGTGTGTACAGCATACTGTATACAGTACAGATCCTCCTCCTACAGTGCTGCTAGCCTGCTGCATCACTGACCACTACCAGGAAAGGATCAATGGTTGCTTGCCATCCAGATCACTCTGATGACAGCTGTTACTCCTTTTAAAAAGGAGAAAGATCTGTTCTGTTTCTCAAATGAAATAGTATTTGCTGTTGGGGTCGTGGCCTACACACCTGCAGGAGGCTGTGGTGTCTTCACTGGTGAAGAATCTGGCTTTGTAAGGGTCTCCTGTTCAGCCTTGCTAGGATCTGTTGCATCCAGGGCACCACTTGCAGGTTTCATGCCAGCAGTAGGAATGCAATCCTTTCTCTCTCCCTTTCAGTGTAGGCTTTCATCTTTTTCTGCATAGTGACTTACTGCAACTTCATGACTGAACTGAGCACTCTGCTAACGTCTCTGAAGGGTGTCAGCTCTGGGGTATGGAGCTTTTCGGATGGATTGCCAAAGGACTGGGCATGGGTCTTGCTTCTAAGCTGCTTCCTACCACATGCATTTATGGTTTGGAAGCTCCTTCTGGAATAGGGGTGAGAGTTGGCAGGGACTAGCCTCCATTGGCCCATTTCCACAAGTATGCCCTGAAGCTGTTTATAGTTGCAGGGCTGCTTGTCAGGCCTGAATGCTCATGTTCAAAGAGCCCCTGACTCTGCTGGGTTTGGGATATTCTTAAACCTGATCCAAGGGGCATAGAGCCAAACCCTGGGTGCTCCTAGTGCTGCTGCTCTTAGAAACCTCCTCCCTGCCTGGCACACAGACCCGAGGCTGAGTTTCGCTACCCCTCCTCCCCCCCCCACCCCATTCCTAGCTCTGAAAATGGCCGTGGCTTATGCTTTGTCACCCAGGCTGCTTGAAAGGATGAATTTATGTGTGTGTATGTAGGTTTTCCCCTTTGTGAAATAAATGAGGGAAATATGAAGCCAGTGGATCAGTCTGGAATGTTTGGTTTGGCAGCTCTTCTCTCGGGCTGTGAAGGCATCTGAATGTGGGTTTTTCCTTGCCATGACTGATGTCCCCACCCAGAGGCTTGAATAGAGTCATGGTCCCAAAGTTTGCTTACCTTGTATAGGCCTTAAATGTCCTTTCTTGCCTATTGCTGCTGCTCCCTCCCCACTGGGAAGGATGTAGCTATGACCTGCCCTATCTTGGAGTCTGCAATGAGATAGAATCATAAGGTTGGAAGAGACCTCAGGAGGTCACATCTAGTCCAACCCCCTGCTCAAAGCAGGACCAGCCCCAACTAGATCATCCCAGCCAAATTTTTGTCTAGATGGGTTTTGAAAACCTCCACGGATGGAGATTCCACCACATGTATGGGAAAGCTGCTCCAGTGTTTTACTACCCTCCTAGTGAGAAAGTTCTTCCTAATATCTAACCTAAGCTTCCCTTGATGCACCTTCAAGCCATTGTTTCTTGTTCTGTCATCTGCCACCACTAAGAACAGTCTAGCTCCATCCTCTTTCAAACCCCCGCCTTCAGGTAGTTGAAGGCTTCTATAAAGTCTCCTCTCTGTCTCCTCTTCTCTAAACTAAATAAGTCCAGTTCCCTCAGTCTTTCCTCATAAGTCATGTCCCCTAGCCCCCTCACCATTTTTTGTCACGCTCCACTGGACTCTCTCCAATTTCTCTACATCCTTTCTGTAGTTGGGGGTGGGGGGGCAAAACTGGACACAGTACTCCAGATGTGGCCTCACCAGTGCTGAATAGAGGGGAATAACAACATACCTGCCGATACAGCCCAGTATGCCATTAGCTTTTTTGGCAAGAAGGGCACTCTGCTGACTCTCATTCTCTCCTTAGTGTTAGCCTAATTGTTGTCACCATTCCTGTCCACAAGGGCTGGGGACCAAATTGTTGGTTGACTGCTTTTACTTTACTGTGACCTCTTGTCCTCCATGCAAGTCTTGGTGCCATGGGGCTGCGTTGTAGCGGGGGCCTACCTGTTTGTCAGGCATGCTACAGATTATGCCCCGCACCCTCCTTGAGTGCCATCCTGATCCACTTCCCCTTACCCGATCAACTGTTCTACCTTGTGCCTTCTGCCTGATTGCTGTTCTGCTTCCTGCTTCTGCAATCTGCTGCAGATTGCCCATTTTATATTGCAAGAAGTTGCATGACAAATGTTGATCCCATTTGCTCCAGAGAAGACCAGAGACAATAGAAATGACTCTGACAAATGGCAGATAGAGAGACAGATCTACCAAAAAAAGTTATATTCCACCCACCAAAAGTTAAAATGCAGCTGAAGAGACCCGATAGGGGTGTTGGTCCAAAGAAAATCTCTGAAACTGTCACTGTTGTTGAAGGAACATTTTAGTGCACCACAGCTATTTAGTGTAACAAGCTCCTCATTTTGTATTTTACCCTTCAGTTCATGTGCTTATAACTCCTTGGATAAAAGCCATAAACTCTATCTCCAAAAAAGTAGGCATGGGATATTTGGCATCCAGCAGGAGAACCTGTAGACGGTGTATTTATAGTTGGCCTCCTTTGGGATCTGTACATTAATCCCACTTGGAATATACGAAGTGGAAGCCTTAAAATAAGCCATTTCTTCTTCTTGAATAGAATAGCGAGTGATCTACTCTGGGAAAATGACTGAAATGGGAACGGGCCCTCTAGGGATCAGTGTGGGTATGGGAGGAGTTTCTCACTGGCATCAGCTCCAATGTTCCTGTCATCCCTGCTCCATAGGACATCTTTCAGGGGCTGACATAGTGCTTCCTGAAAACTCATCATGCTGTGTAGTAGAAATGCTGTCCCTTTGGGGTCTGTGCTAAAGCTCACTGAGATCAATGGGAACCTTTCCATTGACTCCATTGGCTTTGAGTCAGGCCTTTAGCGTAGTGATTCCTAGCCAGGGTGCCTTGAGATACTTTAAAGGGTGTTATGGGGTGCCATGCTATGTTAGCACTGCAGATATACAAACATGATTCACAAGATAAGCCCAGAGATTTCAAATAGGATTCCACAGTGTTAAAACCCTTCTGACCTGTTGTGGTCTTTCTGAGTTCTTTGCAACGGAAGATTTGCTCTATTTTTCTGTAGTTAAAAATGGAGTGAAAACTAAGAGCTGGCATTTTCCAAGGGTACCTCAAGTCTAACAAAGGGTGCTTCAAGTCT